TCAATATTATCACCATCGTCTGCATTGCTTTTGGTCGGTGGGGTAGCCTAGTAGTTAAAGCGTTTGCTCGTCACGCCGAAGACCCGGGTTCGATTCCCCACATGGGCACAGTGTGTGAAACCCATTTCTGGTGTCCCCCGCTGTGATATTGCTGAAAACGGCATAAAACCCAACTCAGTCACTCACGGAGTAGCTATAATCACTATATCATATCACATAGCTGTTGTATTTGTACTACCAATAAAATTGTACTGGCACTTCATTGTACTGCAGTTGTAATTCCTTTTTAGTAATTTGTGTTTATTTGTGAAATGTATTTTTAGAATGTATTTGTACATTTCCTTTTTCTTTGTTGGTTCCTCGTCAAATTATTTTGCGTACAAATATCCGGTTATCTTATTGTTTCAACATGGAGATTAATTGACACGTTACAATTCCAATTAGGTTACTATCACTTATCGCTAGATCGACCATATATGATCAGGCATGGTTTTATTACGCACTTTCAGACTTTAAACTGTGTTCAATATTTTTGCATCCATCACTGATTTTTAAACTATGTATCGTTTTAATAATACCCTCATATATCTCTCATTTCACGATGAAACGATGATAAGAACCGGTAGACAGTATATGACAAGATCTTTATATTTAAGAACAGTTACGAAAGCAATATTAAAGTTATCAGGTGTGATCATATGAATGATTGGTAAACCTTGATATTATATCAAATATTTTGGAAAGTGTTTTGATAGTATTTCCTGCTGATGTTGTGGGCCAACGCTGGTGATGCCGTTGTGAGCATCCGGTTGTGCAGATGGAGAATGTGGGGCTGATGGGCATCTTTCAGGCCGGTTACTCGAGGTCTTCCAGTTGTCTGGCCAGTCTGGTTGACGTCCCTCATTAGCTTGATGATGGTCTGCCCTGTACACCCTAACGTTCCGGCAAATGGCTAGACCCTACCAGCGACATTCCAATGGCTTGTTGTCGCTCCCATGCTGATATTCTTGACATTTTAAAGTGTGCCTTTAACAGGTACACCACTAACGATCTCATTCGACTCTGTTTTATGCTGTTGGTGCATAACATGCACGTGCGATTCAGCAAAATCGGGTAAAGGATATCTGTGTTTTGGCAACACATGGTCGGGGCGGTGGGGTAGCCTAGTAGTTAAAGCGTTTGCTCGTCACGCTGAAGACCCGGGTTCGATTCCCCACATTGGTACAATGTGTGAAGCCCATTTCTGGTGTTCCCCGCCGTGATACTGCTGGAATATTGAAAAAAGCGGCGTAAAATCCAACTCACTCACTGACTCAGATCACAATCAAAACACTTCACAGAATATTTAAGCTGTTTTCTGGAAAATAATCCCTAAACTTCAGGTGTCTACTTTCTGTTTTATGTCAGTTTAGTTAAACATTTATCTTGGGTTACGTTCCGGCTCATTGTTTGATTTCCTTTTAAAGTTCGAAAAAATCGGCCTCTGTCGTTATCGAGAAACATACTTCTGTACATGACCGCCTCCGTGGTGTAGTGGTTAGAGCGTCCGCCCGGAGACCGGAAGGTCGCGGGTTCAATCCCCGACCGCGTCATACCAAAAGACGTTAAAATATGGTACTTGTTGGTCCCTGCCTGGCGCTGGGCATTAATGGGTACAACATGGACTGGTCGGCTCGGAGTCAGTATAATGTGTCTGATTGGGGTATTCATGCTTCACTGCGGCATGGTATCACAGATGGCTAGCACTATAAAACCAGCTTTAGTCTGGGCTAGTACAAGCAGCCGCACATACACATACACACGCATGCACGTCGTCATATGAGCGAAATATTCTCAAGCACGACATTAAATCCAATTTCACCTCACTTCTGTACATAATCATGCCATTACTCCAAAACTTGACAGAAATAATATTATTTGATTATTATTCATATAAATATTACCAGAAACGTTCATATCCAATTATGTCATGCATAAATAACATAAATTTGCTATTTACTGTGGTTCAAAAAGGATCATTATCACACCTCGTCCTGTTTACACTGTATTCCGAAGTAAAGCTAACATTCAACAAACATTTTGTGAAAAGACAGAGAACGGAAATCGTCGTATTATATTATATTCATTATTAAAACAGCAAAATGGTGCTGAGAGAAACAATTTTCTTGAAATTTGCTGATATCGCGCTGTTCATTCATTACACAATAAAACTTTGACTTCTCTTGATATTTTGTTTCCCAAACTGTCGTCGCTTTGTCCAGACTGGTGCGAAGGATTGGTCGGAATGCCCGACATAAATGGCCGGTCCAGCCCGAATTGACATTGTTGCCGTGTCTTACAAAAAGGGCCTGATTAACCTTGAATTGAGAGCTTTAAATGTGTTTGACAATGACAGATTAAGAGGAAAACGGATCAGATCGGTAGAGAGCAACTGTCAACAGGGAAAGCTCGTCTATTTTAGTCCCCGTTTAAAACAAAGCGTCACACATTCCCCTAGACGCCGAGACCCCGGTAATGAAAGGTAGATGCCTTGACGAGGATAGGGAAGGACTGATACCTAGTTGCGGCACGTCCCCGCCCCTAGGCGGCTAAATATTGACACAAACTCGCATGAGGCCGTGGTTAGCCGTCCAATGAGAACATTTTTTGGTGGATTTGAACCGACAGAGGTGAGCGTGGCTGTACCTCTGTGGAAAGACCAACAACCGGCCCAGGACAAAACTGGGAGCTCTACTATAGGCTGATGGCAATCGTAACCTATACTTTACTATAGACTAACGGCAGTGGTAACTTATACTTTACTATAGACTGGCGGAAGTCGCAACTTAAAATCTACTACAGACTGATGGCAATCGTGAACTATACTTTACTTTGGGCTAACGGCTGTCGTAATCTATACTTTACTTTGGACTAACGGCTGTCGTAACCTATACTTTACTTTGGACTAACGGCTGTCGTAACCTATACTTTACTTTGGACTAACTGCTGTCGTAACCGATACCTAACGTTGAACTAACGGCTGTCGTAACCTATACTTTACTTTGGACTAACGGCTGTCGTAACCTATACTTTACTTTGGACTAACGGCTGTCGTAACCTATACTTTACTTTGGACTAACGGCTGTCGTAACCTATACCTAACGTTGGACTAACGGCTGTCGTAACCTACTAACGGCTGTCGTAACCGATTTACTTTGGACTAACGGCTGTCGTAACCTATACTTTACTTTGGACTAACGGCTGTCGTAACCTATACCTAACGTTGGACTAACGGCTGTCGTAACCTATACTTTACTTTGGACTAACGGCTGTCGTAACCTGTACTTTACTTTGGACTAACGGCTGTCGTAACCTATACCTAACGTTGGACTAACGGCTGTCGTAACCTATACTTTACTTTGGACTAACGGCTGTCGTAACCTGTACTTTACTTTGGACTAACGGCTGTCGTAACCTATACTTTACTTTGGACTAACGGCTGTCGTTACCTATACCTAACTTTGAACTGGCGGCTGTCGCATCTGATACTTCACTCTGTAGTAACGTCGCTAGTGGTGCGTAAGCATGAAGCGTCTGCTGTCAAGTAACAATGTATTTATTGAACTAGAATGAGCAAATCAGTGATTCAAACGCTTATATAGACCAAGGGTTCTGAAAGCTGGCGGGTTGGAATAGTCATGGGGTCGAATCCCAAATCACGGTTATGCTTCTAATTCTGCTTCACAACACAAACATGGTACCAAATGACGTCGTCCCCGTGAACGGACTTATCCACCTACAGTACCAGAAATATCACCGTGATAACAAATTGTAAAGCTTTCGTATATGCCCCAAAGCACAATGTTGTTGTTTTTTACAAATATCCATCCATAGTCTTCTGCAAATAATTAATTTTGTCAATTTCTCGCACTTTGATTGTTTAACGCAGCATTTGCATACTGCTATTTGAAGCCAGACAGCCTGTAAATATTTGCGTGGATCAAACAAACCAGTGCTTGATAACCCTAGCAACAATCGGTAGGATGATACGCAATCAACCACCCCATCCTATCCACCTGATCAACCTACTTGCCTCTTTGGACCAATACAGGTTGATGGGTACCTTCGTTACCCTGAGTACAACGAGCTGCGGAATAAGCAGAAACGTTAATGTAATATACTGCTCAAAAAGAAGATAAAGAATAGTTGGTTCTTTGTTACAATGAGTGAGTGAGTGAGTTCAGTTTTACGACGCTTTTAGTAATATTCTAGCAATATCCCGGCGGGGGGACACCAGAAATGAGCTTCACAAAGAGTGCCCATTTGGGGAATCGAACCCGGATAATCGGCGTGACGAGCGAACGCCTTAACCAGTAGGCTACCCCACCGCCCTTGCTACAAAGAAAGGCTATGAAAGTATGTACATAATGACTATTTACTTGATAAACCCCCAGGTGTCCTTGAACTTCTTGTGAGTTATGTATACTGACTGAAGAAATTAAGTTTGGGATCGTGAATAGTTTGGGGAATATTTTTATGAAATTCTGTGCTCAATCTTCACCAGAAAGAAAAATCCCCCAAACATTTATGACCCTAAACGTTTTTGGTTCACTACGAAGAGTTACGAGTTGACAAATACAGTTCCATGACGTGTGTTTAATTTATGGAACGACAAAGTTATACAGGTGACAGTGTGCAAGCTACATTAAACCTGTATATATATATTGAAATATAATCCTACAACACTGGTGCATTTGTTCAGAAAATAGCCCAGAACGTCAACCAGTGTTATATATATATATGTACATGTAAATTATACGATCCACCAGTCCGACCAGTTTTACCATATTTCTCCCATTAATTATTACCCCCCTCATCACAAACCCACCCCCTACAAGTCCATCCTTCGACCACGCCCACCTGTCTTAGCTAGCGGCACGTGTGCCGCCTCATTCTGACTCTGCCTGTCTTTCATTCGGAATAACGTTTGTACTACATAGCCTAGTCAGTGGAATGTGACCTATCTACCTTACTAACAAAAAATAATCAATAAAACGAACGAAACACGAAAACTAAATGGCCGCGGTCTCAACAATGCAGGCAAATTTCCTTCAGGTGTTGCATTCTCCATGCCTCGTCGGCAGACTGGTGAAGGACCAGAGTGGTCAGCCGTCTATATTTAGGGCAAACTTCACCTATATGCTTGTGTAGTGGGCTATGACAAACGGCCGCATACCAGAGCAAGTCCACCTTTGCGTAAACTGTCGGCTCTGTTCGCCAGTAGTGCAGTGAAGCACGATAGTGCTTGTGCCTGAACACTTCACCTAGACACGGACTCGAAGACTTGAGGATACCAGATAAGTGACAGGACAAACTGAAACACTCTGATGTCAGCATAACGTACATTCATAGTTCGGACAGGTAAACAGTTACAACGCGATTTACCTGGAGTTTACCTGCGACGCGAGGATACAGTGATAGCGCTCGTCCCTCTCGGGGTCCACAGATGGTCGTTTTAACTTCGCCTGTCATCTAGGCAGTGGACAGGCCCGCGTAAATTGACAATTATGCTTCATCTCAAGATGCTGTCGTTGTGGAAATTGTGTATTATTGTGCTATTGTTTGAGTATTGTTCGTGTCAGAATGCATGTGAGCAGCCGAATGTTGCAGGAATTGTTGTCGGGAGTGTCTTTGGGACACTGGCGGTTGTTGCTCTGATTCTTGGAGTTGTAGCGTTCTTGCTGTGGAGACGAAACAAAGGTGAGATATTCTCATGTATATAGATATTTATGCTTCCTTTTTGTCACCTGTCAGGTGATTAATTTTCACACCACACAGGTGTTTGATAACTGTCAATTTAGTCTGTTTCACCTTGATTGCTCCACCCTTAAATTTCAGCCCATACATCACACCAACAGTCTCCAAAAAATATATATATATTTGAACAATTATTTAATTAACCAAATGCCCTGTTATATATTTTATTGTTAATGACCAGGTTAACATGATAAATAGTTTCCCAATATATAGTAAAGATTAATTTTCACACTAAAAATATCCCATAAGTAGGAAGGATAAAAATGATTTTTGTCAACATCCTCATTAGCAAATAGTTTTGTATCATGGACCTCATGGTTTTCCTTACTTGCGGACACACCCCTTTCTATTACAACCTGAAACAGCATAATTCATTCACACTCGCCATGCTCTCAACAAATATCTTCACTGGTCTCTTTATGCTGCCCAGTGTCATGTAAGAATGTTGAATCTATTGGTATACTCAGAGTCATTTTGAAGTTGACAGTTGAAATCTACATTAGAAAGTGACGCCAGCAAAGCAGAGATTGACATATTTTATCAGGTAAACAAACAGGTGTATTGATCCAGGTAAGCTACCATGGTGTGAATGGATCTTAACAGGTGAAAATACATTCCAGTATCATAAAGTAGGGGGACAAGCATTGTATTTGCAATTGTAAAATATGGAAACATTTTTGAGCATTTCTCAATGTAAAATTGATACATGCTCAAACTTATACTACTCAAAAGAAGTTAGGGGCTACCAGATGTTTATACTGTACTGTATTGTATGAAATAAGAATGAAAAAATCATTGGACCAAACTAAATTGGGTCATGTTTGTTTTTAACACTGGCTTTTCACGGTACTGTAACACAATAAGTAAATTGTGTATGATAATTGTTCATACAATAGTATCTGTAATGAAGACACCATAAACTTTCTTTCCTATGTTTTTTTATTAATTTTTAGTTGTTTACAGTAAACATGACAGTAAAATATTTTCAAAGATTTAAAGTTCAGAATTCCATTATTGTTTACTATTGTATTTTAAGGCAGTGTTTTCTTTTCAAACAATGCAAGACTTGATGTGTAACTTTCACAAATAGACATTAAGCATCATGCAGTTGGTGATGGTGAGACTGGGTTTCTACATCAACTAGATGAACTATACTACTCAATATTTGACAGGGATGATCAGATATATTATTCTATATATACATACAAACAGCATTGTATCATACTTCAATGTTTTGAATTTAAGTTTGTCTTGAAGTAGAAGCTCGGTCCTGCATATTCCTTATTTAGTCATCATTTTGCAGTTGTCAAATCTCACGTAACTCGAAGTATTTATGTATTTCTACTTCCACACAATAGTGTTTGACTGTATACTTGACATATTATAAGAATATTTTTGTATCATGTAAATATATCAAATATCATTATCAAAAATGGGGTGATATATATTCGAACATATATAAGCTTCCTGCATCAATATTCATTCCAATATGTTTTCAAACCTAAATTAAAGGTTGGTTCAAGATATATGTTACTTCCAGAATGTAAAGTTTGTTTTACTTATTTAAATATAATAAAGTTACCTACATTATGTTTCTTAAATCTATACTTACATGTTTTGTCAGAAAACATTTGTGTATACGATAGAAGCAAGTATATCATAAAGTAGCCTTTAAAATATATGAATAATGGGGTCTGAACCAAACAGTCCAGTGATTGGCATCAGGGATATGATAACATGCATGAACCATGTCAGCCAACCTGACCACCCCATCCCATTAGTTGTCTTGTACAACAAGGAGTAGGGGTTGCTGAAGGCCAATTCTAACCTAAATCCTCACAGATACAGCTCTGTGGAGATGTAGGGTAGGTGGCTTGAGCATTTGCTCGTTACACAGAAGGCCCAGGTTGATCTCCCCCATGGGTACATTTCCAGTATTCCTGCTACAATATTGTTGGAATGTAGCTTAAACACAACTCATTCACTGTAGAAATGATATAAAGAAGTTCTCGTTTCTGTAAAATATATTTTTTGGTGCTGCATTTTGCTCTTTAAGACAACATGAACCATATATATAAATTTACTTTCTGAGGAAAATTGAAGTAGTTGAATAACAAATAAGCATATTTTTTGCCTTTAGTTATTTCATTAAAACATGTCTGCCCCTGTCAACACAAGGTCGGAGTGTTCACGGAGTGTTTACACTAACTATTCACAGTGAATCTGTGTCCAACATATTCAAAATGGCAGTTCTAGTTCTGTTTGCACAGAAATTCTGCAGACCATGAAACAGTAATGTGCCAAATAGGTAATGCCAAGTATTGGCACCAAATCTATACAGAAGAACCACCTAAAATCTAATTCATATTAACCAACAAACAAGAATGTTAAATATAAAGTCATCAATGCTTTTCCAAAAAAAAGAAGAAGAAAAAGAACCATTAGCAATATTAATTTCAAACATAACCTGCAATTTTCACAAAGGAAATAGGACATTGTGGTAGCCTGGTGGTTAAAGCGTTTGCTCGTCACGCGGAAGGCTTGGGTTCGATTCCCCACATGGGTACAATGCGTGAAACCCATTTCTGGTATCCCCGCGATGTTATTGCTGGAATATTGCTAAAAGCGGCGTAAAACCATAGTCACTCACTCACTCACTCACTCACAAGGGAAATGTAACATTACTACATGTCTCTATCAATTCAAGAAACACATCCACTGCAGTCTGTTCAATATTTGATAACAAAGTACAGATATGTATCTGCTTGAATAATTATCCTTGAAAACTTTAAGATGTAGTCTCATGAAAATCATTGTTGTCCATTTGACTGTGGATTTTATGTGAGTTAGTATGGTATACAACAGTATAGGTATTCCTTTGATGTTAGCCTGAAAGCTGCATAGCAATGTGTTTGTCTTGCGGAACAAGAAAAGGATACCAAGCCCTGAAATAGCCTCATTCTCGCTTAACACTCTCGACCCATTCTTCTGTGACACACTTTCGTACTCAGAAGGCTGCTTTCAGAGATTTCAATAACTAAAACATGAAAAATATGTCTTGCTATGAAATACAACCCTTGGACGGGCTCTGTTATCCTTGGTGAGGCAAGAACAGCACGTCCTCTTGACAATTATATTCCACATAACAGAATCTCGTTTCAAACAATTTAGACATTCTTAAATGGCTTGGTTGACTCTTGTGGTCTGATATATTTTTTCAGCTTGTTTGCTTTTGATGTTTGTAAAACTGAATGGGATTTATGTTGACATGGTGATCTGAGTACAGTGCTGGCTTGTTTAACTATGTAATTAAGTATCTTCAATGTGTACAAGGCTTGATGTTGTAAGAATATTTTCATGAACTGAGGCTACATACAGGATGACTGACGTTTTAAAGTAATGACTGGACATGGCCGAGTGGCCAATGCTAAGTGGTTTGAACTAAAAAAAATAATTTAAATTAACATGATGGGATTTTGTTTCATTTGAAAAATATTGTCTGTAAAATGAAACTAAAAGTACAAAGGTATTAATTGATAAGTGCATTATATACTGCCAATATTAAAGATTGTAGACAGATAAGATAAAACAAGGTTCATGTTTAATGTGTGTAGCTTTTACTTTTCCCTCCATAACAAATTGCCATAGTTTTATATCCGAAAGAGAAAAACAATATCAAGAGGCATGAATATATTAATATTTCTGTTTCACACTATCCAAGCATATTGTTTATATAAAAAAAAATAAGCCTAACAATAAACAAGTCTATAGGATAGTGTTAAATTTGTTTACTTTGCTGTTTGTATAGATTTATATAAACAAATATGACATGGAAAACCTTGCCCGCTCTGTCAGTGGGAAATCCCTTCATGGTTGTTGGCTAAAAATAGATTAATAAAATATATTGGGACAAATGTTCCATCTCTACTTGGCATAAAGGTTATGCAGCAGTAATTCAGCCAGGAACAAGTCTAGATAAGCATCACTTATTATTGCAACATGGTGGTGGGACATCCAAGTGGTTAAACAATATTTGCTTGACAAGCAAAAGGTCTCAGTTTGGTCACAATGTGTGAAGCTCATCTTGGCATCATTGCAATAAAATTACTAGAATATTGCTCATAAAAGCATTACAGACTATTCACTATATTGATTTCAATATTTAGAGATCTTATTCTTGCATACAGACAAATATTGTATGTGTGGTCAAAATCTTCTGATAGAATAAACATGATATGTACTGAAGAGGCCATGCCTGCAGCTATCATTCAGACTGAATCGTGAGATGCCTCTGGTCCTGTCGTGTTTGTGTCTGGTTCAGCGTTATATCTGCTGCTTGTTTTGTACAACAGAAGTCAGAAGACTGTGTTGACCACATTCTCTGGCCTGGCCGATGGTTGACCAGTGTCTAGTCAGACTTGACCATCTGCCATAGCAGCCATCTTGAAAATTCTCCTCATGTGTCTAGTTTCCTGTGGCCCATGTACATTTTAGCTGGGCTACTGTGTAACCCTCGGCCTGAAACGTCCGTTCCACAATGTGATGCTTGTGCTATGACTCACCGGCAAAGACTTAATTGTCAGGTATCATTATTCAATATATAAAACCTATATAACAATCTGTTACAATTAATAACATGGTCAGAATATGTGTTTAAGTTGAACTTTCAAAAGTGATTTAGAATTTCTTTAAATAATGCGGCAGGCAGGTCTTTCACAATGTAGAGAAAAATGTGAACCATTTAGTCTCTATAATGATAATAAGAGTAATTTTATAGCGCCTCATCCACATCACTGAGGGACATGCTCTAAGTGCCTACAAGTCACAGTTCATTATTAACCCGGATAACCCAGGCTGCCTGTGAGGTGCTAGAAGGTTAAGTCTATGTACAAGAAAGTATCAAAATTTAAAAAAAGAACATTTCTGTGGGGTCCAATTTATAA